AATATAGAGATCCCATCATTTCTTTTTTTCACCATGTTTCTTTTTTATTATTTATGTACAGCCTTGCTAAATCTTGCTAAGCATTCAAATGAGATAATGGTTGCAGTCTATGGCCAAGACTGTTTGGATAATAAAAAGCAAAAAAAATCACTATGTGCCCACAAACCTGCATCTCTACCTTAAATAAACCAGATGGTGTGGTTGAATGTGTTTACATTCCAATAATATTTTGGCTAAAGCATAATGTTATAGGCACACGCTGCTATGAGTGAAATTTACTTCCGTTTACAAGGTATCACACCAGGTTATTTCGCCAAATATAAACAGCTTCTAAAATTAATTTAAAAGTAAAAAATATCGTTTGTTTGTTGTTGCTTACCTCCTGATCATCTGGGATGACGTAATTAATTGGGGAATCCTGGGATCTGTCACGGACCCTTTGTTTGAATATATCATACTCATCATTATATGGTTCGTAGTAGTTGATTTCAAATAGTCCTGTTAAAAAATAATATGTGAGCTATAACATATATGTATTTATTTTTTCTTTAATTTTAAAAGATAATAACTTAATCACATGACTATTGTGCATATTGTTCAAAGCTATTACGTGCGTCTGTTTTTCTTATAGCGATACGAGAATTTCAGTATGCAAAAAACAATTACCCGACTGTTGCGATGACAATAGATTGTAACGATATCAACTGACAGTTTTTGTTTTTAAAAACGAATAACTTTAAATGCGCATACCACCAGCCAAGACCTTGATTGAAAAGGTTATCTGATATGATGTGTTCAGAAAGCCAGCAACACTATGGCGACATGAGATGTAAATTTAATTTAATACACCTTTGATTCGTGGATGACACTAGCCAATGACATCATTCGTGGATGACACTAGCCAATGACATCATTCGTGGATGACACTAGCCAATGACATCATTCGTGGATGACACTAGCCAATGACATCATTCGTGGATGACATTAGCCAATGACATCATTCGTGGATGACACTAGCCAATGACATCATTCGTATCAACAAGCTCTACAAACAAGTATTATCAGGTGATATCTTCATAATATTTAAACAAGTATCACAAATTTGACAGAAAATTGATTACTCAAATCTGTACTTATGTGTTACTGTGTTGCTAGAGCATTGGACTAACGCATAGAAAAGTGAGCCGATGTATATACTAATATCTGTATCACGAATGTAACAAACACATAATTTGAACTTACACAATATGATTATATTTTAATGTTTATCAAAGTGTGAAACCATCACACTAGTCTTACTTCTAAAACAATAACACAAATAAAGAGAAACTAGGCTATATAATTGTTTTCCAATCACTCAATCAATGACTTAAACTTATGCATGATACCTATACGTAATCCAGTGCAATGAGAAGCCAGACAAATGACACACTCTCGCATATAGTATGGTTATTAATAATGTACATAATTTTCCAATAGCACAATATAGAGGTGATTCAAGGTATATCAAATAAACCGGATATTTTAAATCACATGAATTGATTCTACGTTACTAATCAATATTTCACTCTCATGAATGAGATATAGCTAATTAAATAAGGTTTAAGGCTCTAGCTTGTTTGCACCTTCAAATGCTTTGATTGCGTCATCATCTCTACCATCGTCCCCCATCCATGTGTTTACACCAAACTGTATATCTAAGGTAGATATTTCTATCATGTAAAATACGTAGTTTCCGTTCAGAAGCCCTTTGTCATAAGCATGTAGAACAAGGTTTCTTGCATCACCACCGTAGACACACAGGATAAACACTGTAAGTAATATCACATATCAATATTATTAAAAAATGCACATATTGTTTTCATGCTGTTTTTAAAATAATGTTCACATACATCTCAGTTCCACAATTAAGGCCTTTGATTGCAGATATATAATTACAAATTGTAAACCACATTACAAATTTAGGTACACATCAAATAAAAAATAATTAATTAGATTGTTCGAAATAAACAGAGAAATTCACAGAATTATTAATTTGATAACAGAGATGTGAACCAACTGAACGTATTTTTTTGACGAATATTTTATTGAAATTTGGAATATTGTAAGTATGACTTATTTATGTGGCAAGTGTATCTACGCATGTTCCTCATTTTTCAAGGCTGTTGTGAATTAAATATGGCACAGATGTATATATTATAAAAGATTTAGTTCATGAAAAATCGTGAATTTGAAAGTAAAGTGAAATAACCTTAATGATTACAACAATAACATAATGTTTGATTAGGTATTATTGTAAAACATGTATTTTTTGATAGCATGTTATGTTATTCAAGATGTCGGTAAGTTAAAAGAAAGTATGACATTGTTGGCACTTTAGCTAAATCAATATTTTGTTAATTTGTGCATTGGGTCTAATTCGTTAAAATGATTATTTCAATGTGTTTCACGCCCTTCTATCCCAGCTAGTTTCACTGCTCCAATATTTCAAGATTTGCGCTGATTTTATCATGCAGAAAATAATTTCCTTTGCATATGATACTAAGTAGGAATACAACCTTAATGTTCAATATGAACACATGGTTCGCACAAGGAAGAAGTGCTTGATTGTATTGACAGCAAATATTCACAGTACGGTCCATATGGTGATGTCAATTATTATTTGTGTACCAATGTGTAGCCTACGAAACACGTGAACACATGTGTTTTATTGATTCTGTATTGGAACTATAAATAAAAAAGAGTGTGTATGTATGCAGTTATTGATCATATCCTAGGAAGCATTGCAACAAGTTACGTGACCGTATATTTTATCATGGTTTTATGTACAACGTATCTTCGCCAGCCAAGGACCATTTATTCGGCCGAAGCCTCAACATTAACCCTTGGCAGATTTCACCACGATTTACTGTATGTCGCACGCCCTCAATGATTATAAGATTCACTTCGGCTCATTTGTATCACCCAATCAGAATTCACGAAAGAAACTACACATTTCTTGGTAAAATTAAAATGGCGGAATCAAATAAATGTGTTGCTAGCTTTTTCTCTGAATGAGCTTACTTATCATCAAAAGTAAGCACTTAGTGCTGTATTTGAGAAAAATGACGTGTTTGTTGCAAACACAGTCCCTTGACTGTGTTGCAACGAACACCGAATAAGGCAAGACGATATGTTATCAGTTTCGTCAGTTTACTAAAACACAGTTTGCACAAATATTTAGACACTCCATCGTCCTCCTTCACTTGCCCACAAACAATTTTCAACGTTGGAATAAGAATTTTTGGAAATTCCCTTGCATACGAACACCTATAACATATAACCCTAAAAAACCGTATTTTTCTGAAAGATTGGTATTTTTGTCCTGATTTGTAGGATTCTGAAAAAACGCGTTTCACAACTTGTCTCTTATTTAGTTTTATGCGTCATTTAAGATGGCGGTCCCCATATAGTAAATATCGTATTTATTTTATTATCTCGTGTGCGCCAGCTGACTGTGCACATGGCATATGTTCATTTCAGAAACCTATTTTAAATTTGTCCAAAATTAACAAGTAAAATGTATGCCACCGTATACCTAAAGCGGTATGGTGATCGTTTCAACGAAAGTAAGGAGCAATCAGTAAGGAGATTTTAATTATCCATTGCCCTAAACTATGTAGAGATACATAATTTGAGAAAATTTAGTGCTGTCTATTGTTTTGGCAGTTCATTGAATCCTGTACGCCCGCCACTCCTAGGCTATTGAATAAGCCATTCAAGTCGCAGATTCTTTAAACGTGAAAAAGTGCTTGCACATTTGTGTCGACAAAGTGTCAGGCCTAATTCTCTTTATTTTCATGATAGTGACTAATCTCTTGGAACCTTTTATATCAGAGGTTTGAATTCAAACTCAACTCACGCATAATTGTTCATTTATCTCGGTTTACGTGATGTAAACGCTATAGGGCAATTACAACAGTGATGTACATATTTTCTAATTAACAAAAACCAATATTAATATTAGTTAATATTAAGTCACATATGTATCAGGAGCATGTGGGGTAGATATATTGCTACATACACTACATACTCCTTATTAATAACGCACACTATATAAACTAGAAATTGAATGATGGACAGAACAGCTGCTAAATTTTTGACCAACACTATTTGACGTCAAACGCAAACGTTAAATGCAAACTGATATACTCAATGAATCCCTGACAGGTAATATAATCAATCAAGTAAGATATCTTTGCATATAATACTTAATCAGTTGACATTAGACTTTTCATGGCCATGCATCAACAAATTAAAAGCTAATTGAAATATTTGGCATGGCATTTGTTTATTGTTTCGTTTGACGGATTCGGTTTGTGTTACTTTCTCTAACATAGCTCTCGGCTATTGATACCTATTATATTTATATACATATTATAGAAAGTGGTCCAGTTAGCGGTAAAATGTTTAATGGAACTGTAATGTTATCATCTGCTGCTGTTTCTATAAATTGTAACAACATCGAATGACTTTATGACAACACTTTTGATCTACATTAAAATACTTGAGAAAATAATATTGTTTGTTTAGACTTTCCAACCTTTGTTTCTATAGTAACCATTGCTATTAATATATCAATCATGCTGAATCAAAACGATAAAATCCACAATACTTTGCACGCGATTCGATAAAGGAGAATCGGCGTAAAATGGATTTCAGCGCTTATGTTTATGACATTCAATTAGATTAATGATTTTTGTTTATGGTGCATTGATAAATAAGATTTGCATTATTACATAACTTCATATGTTTATTTTTAACTAGTAAATTCTGTGAGATTACATAGATTTATGTGATATAGACATATATATAATTATAAAAAACACTAAAATAAAATGGCCGTGAGTCGGTTATGTTATCAATACAGGCAGTCAAATATAAACCTAGTATCGAGAACAGTATTTGATCTGCCAGTAAGTTATTTGTCTCATAATCGTATCTATCGGCAGTGTATATGGGATTACACCTCTGCCCTCTTGTCGGGTAACCTCGATATGAAAGTTTGTCAAATCGTTAATTGGCAATTCCCACTCATACTATAGTTATAATTTCAATTCAGATAAAGTTGAATTCGACACGATATGACATGCAGTATATATTATTACCACTGTGCCTGTAGCCACTAAAAATCATATATATTGTGAATTTAATATTCAAATGCTCGGCTCTACCACTCCCATGTAAATAGATGTCGTGTGAAAATGCAATAACTGCAGCTGTTTGTAATATATAAATCCACAGAAGTCGGTTAGCTATGTAGACATTTACAATAACATAATATTATGACCCCTTAAACCCTTAAACTAGCATGTTAACAGTTGTTATGTTCCCATATTGTGATTCGCCTGCCACAATCAAAGATGTCAATGTTCGGTAAATTGGAATATCATTGATCTTGTTTTATTGTACTATTTATAGTGCATACAATACTATATAATTTATATTCTAGTTTAACTAGTCATGATATTCTATTGAATAAAATCAGTGGTCAATTATGATATAACACACAATGCAATCATATAATTATTATAAATTATAGTTTTGTACTCTTGGTGGGCTATTATTGCACACACTTGCAGCAGCGCATATATGTTTTATGCACAGTCGGCTGACGTACACGTGACAATAAAATAAATACGATATTTACTATATGGAGGCCGCCATCTTGAATGCAGCATAAAACTAAATAAGAGACAAGTTGTGAAACGCGTTTTTCAGATTTCTACAAATCTGGACAAAAATACCAATCTTTCACAAAAATACGATCCGTTGGGGTTATATTAAGCCAACCGATAAAAAATTCAGGCGAATTCGGCGTT